ATTATTATTACTACTATTATTTTCTGGGTCTGATGGGAGCTCTTTCAGTAAATTTCATTTGCCTTTGGAATACGTTTAGGGTATGAGGAGTTTGAAGGTGTAATACAAGATGTTTATTTTTGTTTATTGTCTGTTTGCTATTGTATTTACTTCAAACCTAGGCACTTTCAAACAGTTAAACCTAATCTGGATTTGTAATTTGTAAATCCTGATTAATAAAGCTATAACATAATGTAGTTTCAATTGGCACTGATTTCAACACTAATGTGACTTACGCTGTTGTTTAAACTGACGTAGTTGCCAGTTATGGTAGCAGAAAGTTTACCGTTATTAGCACATAATTGTATCCGTATTAGAAACATTTTCCACTGAAAATATCCTGTAAAATCCTGCTTGGGAATCCCACTGCTGATGTTTGTTTCTTTGCAGTCACATTTGACTGGTCGTCAAAAAGTATTTTTCTTCTCTCTATTTCTTTGTGAATAACTTTTTTTTCTTCTGTATGACAGAAAGAAAATAACTTTTAAATAGAAATTGGAATCATTGGCTACTCACAAAACCCAGCCAGTCTGGAAAAAAACATTCTCTTTATCAGATCTGTCTGACCTAACCTCTCTACATTAGAGGAATTACCTTCCTTTTCTAGATGGAGGAAATGAGGCCAGAGCTTTTAGCTCTTTCTCCAAATTATGAATTTATGTAGCAAATAATTGATAAAGCTGTTAGAAGTCATATTTCCTAGAACTTGTTGTTTCGTGGGCTATAGGTACTCACTTAAATCAGGTTTCTCTGGGCTTTTTTCCCCCTTCTCTTTGGCCCATAGTAAACTGCAGAGAGAGATGACTTCTCACTGGATTGCAGTTTTCTTAGGGCTAAACAGATTGAGAATTTTCACTTTAAGCTCCAGCTGCTTTGTAAACTTGTGGCGTATTTTTCCCCCATTTGCATCACTAAAACTCATAATGCCATGGAATTAAAGTATGAAAACCAAAGTTAGTATTTTTGTGGAATATGACATACCATGAGTAGTCCTTATCTCAGTAATACTGAAGGTTTGAATATACGTAATAAAAGAAGTCATTGGAACTGGATGCGGAGTTAGAGAGCTCTATTTAGAGGATATTAATGATGTAGCAGTCTGAAGGCACTGGGAGATTTTCAGCGTGTGCTATAGGAATTCACACCAGTGCTATCTGAAAAAGGACTATTAGCTTTTTTATTTGCATTAGGATTCCTAGACGTTTCCTTAAGGGGAACAGCTTGTACTCAAGTAAAAAGGTGTAATTAGTGTCAGTGTCAACCTAACTGGGGATTTTGTGGTGGAGCTCTTTTCATTTATTGCGCCATACAAGTAGCAGAACACCTTGAGATAATGTTATAGTACTAATCTGTAAACTGTGCTATGATACATCAAAGGCTTTGAGAAGATAATGAATATGTGAGTAATTAAATCACCATTACATAATGGGTGTTCACAAAGTTGTGGAACGTAATTGGTCTTCAGTGTTCGTGCTGAAAACTGTAGCATTATGAAGGAGACGATCTGACCCGTGGGTACAAGAAGCTTCTTTGGAACTGTGGAGAGGTACCACTCCAGATATGTTTCATTTCATTTACTGTTCCAAATCTGAGATTGTTTTGATATAAGCAAGCCAGGCCTGAGGCATATGACAGCTCCATGTTTTCTTGCTGGGATTCCAGATGCTGGTGAGCAAGTCTTATAGGATTAATATTATGTCATCAAATAGCATCACGGGCTCCCAGGCAAACATGGCCTGTCACAAAGGTGCAATGAAGTCACCATTGCCCTGAACGTTGTGTCCCTTCACGCTGAGTGAACAGCGTCAGTTCTGCTGGCTCTTTTAAGCCTCTGCTGGTTTTGCTGCTGCTTGCTGCGCTATCGTGTGCGGAGTAGCTCTGCATGCAGGCCAGCAGCACCTCTTCCAATACCACCATGGCATCTTTTTCATCTTAACTTCCACTTGGGTCAGTCAGGGTTTTCCCAGCAGCCCTGCTAAGTGGTTTTCAGTTCTTCCCAAACTCCTGTTTCCAAACATCTCTGATAGTAGCTGAGCAGCAATGAATATTTCACAGAAGAAATACTACAGATTTGGGGGTTTTTTTGGCTGTGGTGTTCTACCAGAAGTTCTAGTATCCACTTGAGTTTTGTAAGGTAGGTATTTTTGCAAGTCTTTCCTGAGACCAAGAGTGATGGTCTGAGATAGTGATGATTTCTGAAGAGTGTTAATCCATTTGTGGCTGGGTGTTTCTGCTTTTTAATGATTGTGAGTTCTGGTCAGTGGTGGTTTTGGTTTCAGCTGCGCTGTTGGATATGTTGGATAGACATTCTAGGTCTGTTTGTAACATACCTGGATGTTGATAGCTCAGAGTGGAAGGAGAAGGACCAGTTATTTGTTGTGGTTGTTGTAGATATATATTTACGAGCTTGCATTTTGATACATCCTGAATTTTCTTCAGTACCTGTTGGTCTATGGGAAGTTGCTTCTGATGATGGATGGGGAATGGAAAACTTTTCACATGATCACTTTTCAGTAAAAAGGGGTATGTGAAAGTTTTTCGTGATTCTGTTTTTGGTAGGTTCCCCTCCACCCAAAAATATGAACATACACATATGAACATACAGACTAATCTAATTATAAAGCACCTCCCCTGCCCGAAACACTTAGAGCACAACAGGTATTAAATATCCAGGGCGTTAATGCAATAGTCATTTGAAGTTTGTGCTGTTGTAAATCACGTGCTGAAACATAATGATCCCTTATTACAAAAAGGGGAAGCAGTGCTGTTAGGGAGCGGGCAATAATATTGACAATCCCATTCAGAGAGGGTGAACCTTTCTGAAGGAAATATTCGGATGGTTAGAAATGGTTACCAAACTTTGTAACCCATCCGCAGCTATTTCCAAATCTGTCTTGGGTGTGCACCTGAAAGGTTACAGTGGAAGAACTGGAAGCCAGCAGTGGCTGGGATTAATTATTTGAGTGTGTTTTAACGTCAGCTTTTATATGTTGCTAAGGATTCTTGCTTTTTTTTCTTTCTCTTTTATTCTAGTTTCTCCTTCTGGCTTTGAGAGCGTTGCTCTTGTAGAAGAGGATCTGAACGGCGAGCTGATGAACGAAGACATACGTATCCATAGCTGGCCTTGTTCTTACTACTTGGACACCAGCAAACAATGGGTCTCCGGCAGACTCTTGCTGACTCCTGTTGCGATCAAATTTACAGCTGACAAGACTGGGGAGCTTTTGGTCAACTTCCATCTTTCTAGTATCAGTGAGATCAAGAAGGAATCTTCAAATTTAATCTTCAGCTCCCTTACCATCTTAGAGAAGAGCACCAAGCACTGGTTCAGTTCTCTGCAACCCAACAGAAATGTGGTGTTCAACATCCTTGAACACTTCTGGAGGGAGCAGTTGCTGTCAAGCCAAGGTGCAGGAGCAGAAGCAGCAGCTTTGCAGTCAACAAAGGGAAAAGAACTGACCGGGTTATTGACTGGATCGCAGAAACGACTGGAAGACACAGCAAAAGTGCTGCATTACCAGGGCGAGCAGTTTGATAACATCATGAGAGGACTCAACAAGATCGAAGGGGATATGGATGTAGCAGACAGGTACGGTACTGTAGCATCCTCTGAGCTCAGCAGTGGTTGTGGGATTGTATTGTTTATGCCTGAAATTTGTGGGACAGATCCACAGAGGTGTTTAGGAAACTAAACTGTTGACTTTCACTGGAATTTTAAACCTGTGATGGTCTTTTGTGGTTCTAGTTCTTGTTATAAGATGTTTTTGTATTTCTGTCGTCCCTTCTGTGTGACATCTTTTCACCCTGGTGAAGTTGTCTGTATATATATACACCTGTCTGTCCTCTCTCCTTCAAATAACTTTTCAAGGCCACAACTGGTGGAAATGGTAGAGGTCTCCAAAATACTAACAACCTGTAAGTTTTGAGAGCGTAGGCAACCAGTTAGGGGAAGGAGACGCAAATTAATGTCCCCACTGAAGGACAGGTTATGGAATTCACATTTTTATTAGATGTCCTAGTGTATGCATAAATGAAAAATACTGGAAGTTGAGTTAATTTTGCCAGTCCTGGACCAACCTGTTTTGCTGTTCTACAGCAAACATAACCACAGTTCTGCTTTTCTGGTTCTTTTCAAAGGAAATGTTGAATATGGCAGATGGTCTGCTGACTTGGAGACAGTTTTCCTAGAGTTACCAGGAGACAGCTGCAAGTTAATCTTTAGTTTAAATACTCCTTTCTCTGTGCACGAAAGGCAGCTCTTGAGGCTGCTTTTTGCATACAAAGTTTTTGTAGTTGAGGGCTTTATATTTGTCCTTTCCTTCACAAGAACTTACTTCCCAGCTACACACAGCAGTGGGGTTTGGGTCTGTGGTGCGGATGTAGTCAGGGAAATGGCTGTAGAAACAGTGCTCCCTTATTTGTGCTGTAAAACTCCACTGCTTTTAACCTTACATGGAATACTCCCTGCCTTTAGGTCTAGGTGGAATTAATACATTTTGAGGAAAAAAATGAGCAGTGGTGAGCAACACTGAACTGCTGAGCTTTGTCTGCAGAGTGTAGTGGTGCAAGAACTGGAGAAACAATACTAGGCTATTTGTGGTAATCTCAATCAGGCACTTAAGTCAGTGTATTCAAAAAAATTAGCCACCAACTGCTGCCTTTAGACAACTGAAAGAGATTTGGAGCACATTTTCAGATGTTGCTTAACTTTACCTGTTGCAGAACTCAATGTGAGTAGTAAATGGCTGGTGTCTTAATCAGAATGTTATGACTTTAGTATTTAATGATTAACATTCAAAGTGAATTATTCTATGCTATTTTGTATGCTGCAAGTTGGATTCGATAGCAGTCCAAAATCGACACTAAGTTTAAGAGTAATATTGTAATGTTTGAAGATATATAGCTGTGAGTGTCTTTGTGGAAGCTCTGATACCTGCTTGAAGAAACACAGTAAAGTTCAAACTAGTTGTTTTTGGAAGAAGAATCTGTTTTTAGACGGGTATCATGTCTAAAAGAAAGTGTTGATTTCACAATGATTCTGGAGATATTCTCCATACCCTTTAATGAAAAGCCAAGATAACTGAAAGCTTCAGCAATAGCTTTTAAAGTTCTGTAGCAATAAACAATGAGTAGGAAAATAAATACCTGCTCATTGTTTTTGGAAGAGAGTTTTGTTTTGTGTTAAGATGCATTGGGAGGTATTATTTGTCCTCATGAATCTGAAGAGCTAGATGCTTTGATTTAAAAATGGAAAAATAAAGGAAGGCATTGACCAAATGTTAGCTGAGATTCCATTTTATCTACAGTATGAAGAGATTGGCCAGCTTGCTCACAGGCTAAAATGCAGCCCAGAAGCCATTAGCGAAACTAATGTTTTAATTGCACTGTGCTTTTTGAGGAATTCTAAGTTCCAACTTAGTTTTCTAGCATAGTTTGTGTGTTCTCATAAAGCTGCTTCCCCCCCTCGTCCAAAGTCTTCTCTTAAACTGATGACATCTTTCTTCATGTCCTTAACCAATGTAGAAAATGGGGAAGACCGTGACTGAAGCTCATTTGATTGTTACATATTCGGTAATTCAGACTGTTAACGTGGATAAGTATGCTAATGTCTATTAAGACTCTTTGACTCTTGCTTTCTCTTGGTGAAAAGTAACGGCATGGATAATATGCAGGACTAGTTTGCAGTACTAGTGTAGCAGATTTTGTGCAGAAGGAAACTTTAGTAACAAACTTTTGTGTCTGCTAATTCAAGGTTATATGAGCAACACCAGTTTGTGGTGCTTTTCATAAAAAGAACCAGGCCCCTTTATCTACTTCCGCATGTTTAAAACTTTGATTAACTTTATCTTGCCTGTATGTGTGGGCTTTTTGGATTATTAATTCTGTTCTTGTGTGTGCCTGGGTATATACAGCTGCTTTCAGTGGACCTGTGTGCAGATAAGCAAAGCTGAGTCTGACGTGTTAGCAGATGTTTGAAGACCAAAAATAAACAGAAAGCCAGATTCACTGGTTCCTTTTTAATATATTACTATTAGAGGACAAGGTACTCTGGTTGCAAATTTTCATTTGTATATAAGGACCGATCATATAGTTTGTTGATACAGAGGGGTGACTCCTCTGTGGAAGGCCAGAGGAGCTGGCTGGAGCCTTTGTTAGGGCTGTGCAGCGGAAAAATCTTCGGGTGACTCCTCTGTGGAAGGCCAGAGGAGTTGGCTGGAGCCTTTGTTAGGGCTGTGCAGTGGAAAAATCTTGACTGTAAATCAGACATCGCACAGCCAGGATGTCAGTCCCTGGGGAAAGAAGGGAGGAGATGGGTGAAGGGATAAAGTGATAAAAATTAGGGCTCAAAGCTGTCCAGAATAAGTTACCACAATGTAAACGGAGGTTTAGGCTTGTCATATTGCAGCTGCTTTTCAGTAAGTGAATGCACACGCTTTTCTCACGGTGAATGTGATGAAGCGAACCCATATTGCGGTAGGAATTTAATGACTTTTCATAGGTTAAGACACAGGCATAAGCTGTCATAGCCCTGAAGTACCTTGTTGTAACTCTTTCATACACCAAAAGGGCAGAAAATGTGCTTTGCATTCCGTAGAAATGAGATTTTGTTCATTTGTTTCTGTTTAGTTACAGCAGGTAGGTTAGAGCATGGCTTTTAATTTGGAAGATGGTGTGTGCTAGCAGAGCCTAGGGTTTTTTCAGTCATTTTGTATTGAACTTAAGTTGAACCTCATAGTTTCAAAATTCAGCCCTAAATCTATGATACTGTACCATTTCAAATTCTGTTATCGTAGAACTTTCTCTTACATCTCCTTTGGTCTTTCTGTCTTTTTTTTTTTTTCCTTTCCTTTTTTTTAAGGAGTGTTGCAGCATTTTCAGAGGGCAGCGGAGGGCTCCAGACCCATTACTCATGTTGCTTACTATCTACATAAATATCTGATGTTTGTGCTTTAGTTGGGAGTAGATTCGTGGAACAATTAATTCTGCCGCCTCTATCCATGAATTCAGTGGTTGACTCCCAATATGACTTTTTGTGATTTTCCTAGCAGATTAATTTCCTTGAGTAGGTCTGTTTTGAAGCCAGTGCAGAACTTTGACGGCTAGTAAACAAAGTGTGTTCAGTTAGAGCTTCCTCTTTCAGATTAGACTTTGTCTGCAGCCAAATTAAACAGGATTTAAAAATTGCAAAGTCTTCTGTAGGCACACTCTGATTCTCTCATGGAAAATAAATCATTACAAAAAGTATCTTGAGAGCAGCACTGCTGTGATGCATATTTTGTCAGGCAGTACCTTTCTAGAGCAAACTTAAAAGCTGGTTCTCCAAAACAGGAGTGAAGCAGTAGTTCTTTGTATTTTGGTCTGATAAGGCTTGCATCTCTAGGATTTAAGTCAGTAAATAGTCTTTTGTAGCTTCAGTAAGATGGCTGTTTCAGTAAAGATTTTATTACAGGTGGTCTGGCTTCATTAGAAGCATCTACTACAACTACCATGCCAGTGGCACATGCCTAATCACTGGGTAGTCTTTAAGGTATTTATGGGGTGGAGGGGGACACTATTCTGATCTGGGTTGAACTTCCTTAGAGCTTTTTTTTTTGGTTGGTTTAAACATAACCTCTTCCCTCCCATTAGTTAATTGAGAATCCATTTGTGCCTCCAGAAACGGCTTTCCTGTTCTGCTCAGTAACTGATGGGCGGGCTGAGAAATCTCCATTGGAAACATCCTGATCAGGCTAGTGGCCTGCAGGCTGGTTTGGTTTGTGGGATGCTTCCAGCCAGCTCACTGCTGTTTTCCAATGGGGACTGGGTAGGGTTGTTTGAGCAGTGGATGCATCCCAGAGGCTTGACTTGCCTCTTTCTCTGATTTTCCCCTGCCTGCAGGGGGGGGGGAGCCACTTTGGCTCAGATGCGAGGTCGGTACCAGAGGCTGCTGGTGGGTGAGAGAGGAGGTGACTGGTTGCACAGTGGGAAGGAGGGGGGGAGGATATGAAGTTACTGTTGACTGTGCGGGGAGATGTAGTTGGCCTCAAAATTTCTTTCCAGCCACTGAGGCTGAGTCATCCTGAAATACAGGATCCTCTGCTAATAGGATGGGTTTGGGTGACGAGCAGGGGATGAGAGGAGAGTGGCAGAAAGGGAGCATCATAGGTGCTGACTGTGGCTCTGCCTCTAACTCCTGTCTAGATCTGGAGAGGGATGCTAACAGACAGGCAGCACAGCACATGAAAAATCAAACCAAAACCACCATCTTTCCTCTCATTCCCATTTTTTTTTTTTTTTTGATGGAAAGAGTACTGGTGAGGCTTAGACCCAAAGAGATCTGTGATCGTGATCCTTTCTTGGGAGAGGACCCCAGAAAAGGGGAATGGGCTATGCTGATAGAAAATACAACAGAAGGATCACGTCCTCTATATCATTGGTTCTTCCTAACAGCGTGTTACATCTTTCTTGCAGCTGATAAATTTAGGTGCTTGCTTAGGTGCATCTTCTTGCTTAGAAATAAGGGGCTTGACTCTCTGTGTTATTTCTGGCTATACAGTGGTCTTCCTTGGGAGCAGTTGCTTAATTCCTCCATAAAGTGAGTCAGATTACCTTTAAGCTAAGGCACCAGTTTGCCAGCAAGGAGGCCTATCTCCTTCAGGAGCTACACCAACACTGATGGTGAGGCAGACTCTGGATGCCGGTGGGCAGCATCTACTGGGCTTTTCAGCCTCAACCTTGCACTCGTAGTGTTTTAACTGGCAATGGGAATTTGGGAGTGGGGACAAAGCAAAAAGTAGCATCAGACTATGGGGCTGAGGTATAAAGGAGCAGAAAAAGGCAGTGGTGGTGAGGGCCAAGTGTGGAAACATTGAGGTAAACAGCAGCGTTAGCTGAAGAACGGATGGGTGTAAATTGGCCTGAATAAATCCAGTTGGAGGTTGGATTTCTCGCATCAGAACAGTGAGATTCTGGCACCGCTTTCCAGCGTGTTAGCAAATGAAGAAAAGCTGGTTCTTAAAATGGATGGAACCTGGTAAGCTGTGGATAGGTTTGAGGAGCAAAATAAGAGGGCTGGATTAGTATTAAGAAATATTTGTGTCTGTGGTAATTTGCTTTGAACTGGTGGGGTAGCATGACCCTCCTACTGGCTTTCACTTTTCTAACACTCTCTTTTCTCTGCTAGGTTGTTGACTGAGCTCGAATCTCCTTCTTGGTGGCCGTTTAGCAGCAAGCTCTGGAAAGCGCCATTGGAAACCAAGCCAAAGGAAACTGCCACAGTTTCCGATTCGAAGAACCAGGAAGGAATCATAATTAGAATTCCAGTTATTATCACCCACAGAACAGACTCAAATGTCAAGCCAGGAAAACTCACGCTCTTCGCTTCTGGCCTGGAAATCAGTGACTGCAATTCTCAGGTCATTCACCGGTTTGAATCAAAGGATGTAGATGATATCAGAGTTCATACGCCATATGAAATCAGTGTCCGTCAGAGATTTATTGGGAAGCCCGACACCTCTTACCGGCTCTTGTCAGCAAAGATGCCAGAGGCAATCCCCATCTTGGAGATGCAGTTTAGCAAGAAGATACAGTTTTTAGAAGATGCCCTAGGATTTGTTGGTGCCAGGAAGTCTCCTCAGGTAGACTTGGGGACCTCCATTTGGCAAGCAGGTACGTGACAGACAAAGCAATCCATCTGTAAGCAGTAACACTAGCACCAAAAGTTTTCAAGTGGTTTTCAAACTCAGAATAGTGTATAATATGTACAAATCCTCTCCCCCCTCCCCGACAGTGAAACCATGCTGATGATAAAATGCAAGAAATAACTGCTAGGTGACTTTAGACCCTCTTGCCAAGAGGGAGAGGGTAGAGATGACAGAAGTGTGTGGCCCTGTTTTAGTCTAGTTGGATTTACTTTCTTCCAACTACATTAGCAAAACCTGTGACTGTAGATGCTGAAGCTGAGCGTCCCTCAGGAGCCTGACAGCTGGAACATGCCAAGACCTCTTTAACATTGTGCTCTCAGCTTGTGTTGTCACTAACTCCACACCACTTTGTGAAAGGATTAGCTTAATTTGAGTTTCAGCTACTGGCCTGTGTTTTAACTACAGTGTCATTTTTTTTCCAATTCAGTATTGTGCCACTCTGTGGGGAAGGGTCATTAGAAATCCATTCTTCTCTGCTGACAACATGCTTGAGAGTCATCTGTCATTGCTATTTTTCCTTTGGCAGTTCGTAGCTGGAAGCATATTTGTATTAAATCTGTTGTTCAGTTAATTGGAGAAAGTTTAAAACAAATTTCCAGTCCAGCAAGTTTTTAAATAACATATGGGATAAACATCATGTTAATTTTCATATCTTAAAAAATAGAATTTTGTTATTTGAGAAGTTCAGGTGTTTGGATTTAGGAGATTTTAGGTCTCAGATTAGGTGAACGCATAGTTTAATCGTTTTAAGAAAACACAGTGGAGACTGAAACCCTTTCACAACAGTACGAATGACATTCATTACTACTGTTACTTCTTCTAGAATTCCGGGGAGGGTTGTTTTTTTGTTTTTGTAATCCAACCCTGGATTCATTTGGAGAACTGGTGAATTTTTGTCTGGGAATTTATTTCTATCAGCATGCCTGAATCCTCTTTTTTCCCTAATTGTTAGTGACAAAAGAGCAAATCGGTGGATGGATTTATTGCCAGTACATTAAAAAAGAGTAGCAAAATGATACAGTAAAACAATAGATGAACCTATTTCTGTGCACCAAGCTAAAAAACTGGACTTCAGCAGGGAGGATAATGTCCTCTTGTTGACGAATCGTCAAGGGCCATAGCTTGGAAAAGCTTGTTAATTTTTAAGGGAGTAAGTCTTGGGCATCTGGCACTAAAACTTCAGCACAACAACTTAGAGGAAAAACAACCTGCTGGTTTCTTAAACACTGAGTTATTCCAGCAAATTGGTGTTCAGTTCCTGATGGTCTTAAGGCTGGTTACATAAAATAATTGGTTATACAGCCCTACTGTGCTTAATTTCCCACTGCTCTGCTCTGTTTGCATCTGAGTCAGTGAGTCAAGGATATTGCTCTCCTACCCCCACCTGCATTTTGACTGTTTAATTTGGAAATGTCAGTAAAGAAAACTGGAGGTTATGGAAATCCTGACTTCGCCAGCTCCACCAAAACCCTTGTTTGTTCCTTCCCCGGAGTCTGTCGCCTTCTGTCTTCTGTCGCAAGATGGCAGTCACGGACTGCATTTTAACCTCTATTTTTTTTCCATGGCTGCTCACATGGTGGAAATACTGATTTTTAATTTTTTTTTTTTTTCTTTTTTTTTCCCCCTGAAAGCAGGGGAGAAAAGTCTGTGTTATGCATGCCTGCCTTTGTGTACACATAAAATATATGCGTGTATTTTCAGGTAGCAAATGTTGATTCAGAGACTTATAGGAGAAAGATCCTTGCAGCGGAGGTATGTCTCTCTCGCTGAACTGGCTGGCAGTGTTCTTTGCCCTCGGTGGTGCAGCTCAGAGACGTGACCATTTCCACAACTGTCATAGTCTCATCTGCATCCTGTCTCTTTATACTAGTCCTGCCTTAAAGTCGTGAATATTGTACATTTATGTAAGTAAATACAAAAAACTTGTCTTTCCTAAGAGTTTTGGCTTGATTCCCCCTAGAAGAGGAATTTGTGAAAAGTTAGACACACCAGATTATCTGAAAGTATTTTTAGCTGCTTTGCATGTCTCTTCTGACTGTATTTTATTGGATCAGGCCACACGGGTGTTTAAATGCTCAGGACAGAGCAGTGAGGTTTGTTTTGTGACAGAGGTTCTTCTGTGCTGGATCAATAATGGCTGATAACAGCTACCCAGGATTAAAAAGCGCAAGAAATCCTACAGAGTGTCTGCAGTATAAGAACCTAGGGCACTGCTGTCTCAATCCTGTGGCTGAAGACTAGCATTCACAGTTTTTCGTCCCTTTTAAGGCTGCTGAATTTACCCTGCTTACCCCTGTGGCCAAATGTTCTCATTATTATCAGTTTCTAGCACTTTGTTCAGAGGTTTGGTAGCTTCTCGTTCTCACGTGGTGGCAGCAAGTCTGACAGTCCAACTGGGTGTAACGCAAATCAAACAATATTGCTTTTTAAGTGTTTCTGCCTTTCTATTCAATTCTCTCCCTTTTTTAAACTAGAAAATTGCTGGGAAATGCCAAATCTCCTTCCTCGTCCCATTCTTTTTGTGCGCCTTTGTCATGTCCCCCTCCTGTTCTTGTCCTCAGTGAGATTAATGGAGGGAAATGGATAGATTTCTTGTTTTTAATGAAATAATTAGCATATGGTGACACTGAGCTGATAAGAAACATAAAGAATCTCGTCTGGTTATTTGCTGCTGTAGGAAGGTCTGTCATTCCCTCCCCACTTTGTCCTCTGAGGGAGACCACGACAGTAATTTACCACAAGCAGCGTTTTTCAGTGCCTGGTTCTTAGCCCCTCTGAATATAAGGAGCATTTGCACAGGGTAACACTAGTACGGTGAATGACTTGCTTGTCTTAAATCTTGATGGTGTCTGAGTCCAGTGACTCTCAGGCTGATAACCGAATAATTCCAGGGATTATGAATTTGCGGTAATTACTTGAGAGGGATTTAGGATTTGGTACTTCTGGTTTAGTTTTTGTCTCCCTTTTCATGGGGAAGTAATGCTGTGAAAAGCAGTCGGGTGTACACCGACAGTTGGCCAGCCAGCTGGGCACCAGCTCTTCGACGTGGCGGTGAGCTCTGGCATCTGATGTGCTTTCTGTCCTGATGTGCATAAGAGCTGCTGTCCTCGTCCTGTGCTGGCTCAGGCCATGTGCTCACAGGTGGCAGCGGTAGCGTTAGCTTCCTTCTTGGTACCTCTTTAAGTGGGAGAGCTTTGGAGATGTTTGAAGTGCCTGTAGGAGCCAAGACGTGCGTCTCGGGTGTTTAGCACCCATCTGCATCAGAAGTAACAACCTTTCCTTGCAGCATGTCCCTGCTACCCTACTGGGTAGCATCAGATACTGCAATAAGAGCTGATGCTTTAAATAAAGGACAGGTGGCATGTTACACGAGGGATTGCGTCCACGCTGCTTAGCTGGGGGTGGCTGTCAGTGTCAGTGTTACCCTACTGTGTCAGGGGTTTGCTGACTTGACTCTTGGGCTCTGTCCCTGATCCATCACTTTCAAATTCTTTAATTAAAAAGATTAAAGAGAGAAGAAGCAGCAGGTGGAGAATCCTCGTTTATGTGATTGGGAGCGTGTTGCTGCTGCTTCGCTCTCTGTTCAGATGAATCCCCACAGCCCCAAATGAGCCCGTTCTCCAAATGTTGCCTGTAATAATAAGTCATCTCTCGGCAGCCTGGTCACCTCCAGGTTAGGCGTTGTACAAAATACAGCTTGAATCCTTTCTAGAAGAACATAGCTTAACGGGCAACGTTGGGTTAGGCTTCTCTGAGTGTGCTTGTCCACTCGCAAACTGCCATGGAGCAAAGCAAAAGTCAGCCACTTCGATGCTAGCACTAGTCCTCCCCATTGGTACAGGAGACGGCAGTCTGACCACGAATTTCTCTTGCAGCCACAGGACTCCTGGGAGGAGTGGTGCAGCCCAGCTCTCCGGTGGGGGGCAGAGAAGGGACGGACAATGACCAAGTTCAGCTGCAGAAGGAAGAGAAGATCTCCCAGGAAGAAGCGAAAGAGCTTAAACAGGTATAAGTTGAGATAACTTTGATAAGAGTTGTTTCATTTCCTCTTTTTCCTTAATAACATGCATTTTCATCATCGGAAACGTAGTCATTGTCCTTAACAAAATATTCCTCTCCCTAAATTTGGATGGGCATATTTTAAAAATTAATCAAGCCTGTGATTAAAATATACTGATAACTTTATATTTGTTTTTAACAATTTTGAACAAATCAGGGATTATCAGCAAAATATATTAAGTGATAGGATTATAACCCAAGGAAAATCCTTAATTGTAACCTTAATTGTTTTTTCTGAAGATTAAGAAGCTTAACAATTAAATAATTTTCAGCTTCTTTGTGTTTTCCCTGTGCTATCTTATTCTTTTTAGTAAGGAGTAGCAGTTCTATTTCAGAAACATCTGCAAAGCTGAACAAAGTGTTTTATAAACACACAGAGAGAACTTGTAGTTAGGAAATAAGTATGCAGTCCAGCAAATTAATAAAGGGGAAATAGGTTGGAGATTTTACTAGGAAAAAATATTTATTTGAAGTAATCCAGTCTGATATTGTTCCTCTAAATGGCTCTTTAAGGAATTTCTCTCATAGCTGATGTTCAGAACTTTTAGTGAAGAATCCCTCTTTGTAGTATGTAGTTGATCCGAAACAGTGAGGTAACTGGAAAAGCAAAGGAGTATGGCTTTAGTGGTTTTTCCATTAAAATAAGTTTACTGGTGATGATCACAGCCACATCAGAAGATGTGGTTGAAGATTAAACTTTATTCTTGATATGTTTTTTCTTTTTTTTTTTTTCCTCTAGCATCTTACTCTTTAATATTCCGTGTGTGTCTTGGTGATAGCATCATGTGAATTTTCTGCTAATTCTATTGCCTCTTAGCCAAACCTGCAGTTTTCTAGCCCCCTTCTTTTATTTTATTATTGAGAATTAGAATACGGCAACTTCTCTTAGCTTGAGTGCATTTGAGAGTCACGAGCACTTAGTAGTGACTTTGAGTGGCTAAAAATGAAATCTTCTTGCAAGAAAATTCTATTTATTAGAATTAACCGAAGGCAGTTGAGTGAGAGTTTAACCTTTGCGGAAGGCTAATTTCAGAAATTTCTGAAATTCCCTGTGCTGGATGGTGGGCTAGAAACAGTGTTAAATGACCAGTGTTATTTAGAACAAAACAAAACGCTTTCAAGATTAATTGGAGCTAAAAAGACAATTCTGGTATTTATTTACACCACACCAAGCCAAGAGTTTTTAAGCCAGTTAATGATTTGGGGTGAGCTTGTGGGGTGGTGTGGGTGGGGAGAGGATCCGAATGCCAAATTGACAGGCCATGAATTGGCCTGATTTTTTCCCAATAATTGCTGAGCACCTGTTCCCTGAGAGTCAGGCCTCTTTAATCATCTTTCCAGTCATTAATAATTTTAAGGTATATGCCATAATTCCTATAAAACTTCTGTTCCTTTTCCTTACTAGAAATAATAAATACACAGTTTTAGACCAAAACTTGCTTCTGTAACCAAAATATAATCAAGATCTTTTGACTGAAATATCTTATTTGGGCTTTTTAAAAAACAGAGTGGACTATTCACCATTTAATCATTCTCCCTCCTTCTCATCTTTTAAAGAGCTTATCTCCATGATCTATCACTTTATCAAAAAATAAGCATTTTCTGAAGCATTGACCTTTTGGAAGATTTTAAGGGAGAGTATTTCTCAATCGTAGCTGTACAAATAGCAGCAATCTATTATTCATGCATGCATACGCTTTGTACAGCTGTTAATGTATTCAGAAGGGCTAGTTGTTCCTTCCTTATGTCAGCTTTTCACCACTATAATTCTGATTTGTAGCAAGACCCGAAAAAGCTAAATATGGTATGAAGGGTTGTTGGTCATGGCCTACTATTGAAGACACATTTTGCTAGACCCTGCAGAAAAGGCCTTCTAGGAATTGCATCCCCAGCACCAGTTCTTGACAGTTAAACACCAACCTTTGTTGGTGCTTGATATTATCAAAGCAGTTGGCCGTGACTGGAAAAGCAGAAGAGACATAAGACGAGGAGTTCAGCATCTTCCAACAAGCCTTGTGAATTGGGAATGAAGCCTCTCATCTTGTATAGAATTGTGTCTCTCTAGCTGCTCCCAGGAGTTGTCCAAGCACTGTTTCTTCTCATTGCTCTAAAGCACAAAGCAGAGTGAAATAGCTCAGGACTTTTTGGTTCTGTTAGGAGAGAATGTGGTGAGTTTAGAGGGGAAGTGTAAAGACGTGGAAGGGAAGGAAAGCGTGATTGAAGGGGGGAGTTCCTATACCAGTAGAAGCGGATTTGAAAGGTATGGAGGTTGGGGATGTATTCTAATAGGGTTCAGGGGCAGCATCATGGTAAACACCACACAAAGCCTTTCGGGTCTTGAACCCCTGGAAGCATTGAGGTAAAGATCTTGGAACTACATCTGAGCAGGACATGTAATGCTTGTCTAAGGTATGTCAAGGCTTTGTCTAAGGTTGTATTTGCCATATTCAGTCATTTTATAGTTGAGAAGTGGGTTAGGTCCATAAATAGAAAGCAGGGCAGGGAACCAGGAGCTTTGTCTTATTTCCAGCTGTGTGCCCTTAAGCAGTCAGTCCTGAGCTAGGTTGTAGGGTGCTCCTTGCTGAGGTGTAGCCTGCTGCTTTGTCCTTTTTTCTCCAAACATGTCTCATCAGTGAGCAGTATGCATAGTCGTTCTAGCCTGCAGCAAGGGCTTGTCTTTCATTGATACAGTTGCTCCCAGAGAGCTTCTTTGCACCGCTTCGGTTCAGCTCGCACTTTGGGAATGAGCAGGATGACGGTTAATCATCTTTGCAATGGTTTGCAAAGCATTTAGAGAGTAAAGGGGGAAAACAGTTACAAGTGCAAAGCATTAACATGCTTTGAAGACAATGATACTTGTGGCATCAGACTTCCATGAATGAGTTAAAGGTATTTGAGGTCCTTATGTTGATAACTGCAGCGTTTTTCTGAGCAGTTTCCTCTCTTGAGGATTATGATCTTTTATTCTTTGATTATCTGTAATGCAAGCACTTGTTTTTAAAAACACAAAACAAAATCGCAAAACGCAGAAGAGCTCTGCTCCATCCCCCTCATTACTTGTGGTGTGGCTAAGTCCAGCAGAACTTTTGAAGTTGGAGAAGTAAGAGGAATTTGTGATGAACAGACAAATTTGCAACAGGAATTGTTGAATGATACTAAATTCCTTCCATTAGAGCTGGAAACCCTGAGCATCTGCAGTTGCGATTGGGTGCCTGAGTAAAGGACTTCACCAGGACTTCATGAAGAGACATTTATGTTAAAAAACCCACAGTTTGTGGCAGTCTGAGCTGTGTTCCTTAGCCCTATAGCTGTGCTATAGAGATGGAGAAAGAAGCCTACAAAGTTCCTGTGGTCTCTGGCTGAGCCTCTGCCTACCGCCTTGCTGTGGCTGACATAATGGCACTGAGTGTGGGAGGGGATATGATAATATTAGCTTAAGGGCTGTGAATGAAGGTGGGGAATTCACTAAATTTGAATTTATTTTGCCAAACCAGTGCTTTCTAATTTCAAAACCGTTTCTGCCAAAGAACTGTTGCCCTGATATTTGCTGTCTGCAGATCGCGTATGCCATGAAGACAGAGATAGTATTAAAGAAGTTAATTCTGTAACATCTGGGGAAAAAAACCACATCCCAGTGCATATCTTTGTGACGCTTGCTTCCTCAATGTCTTCTCAGGTCTAGATGGCTCCATTTCAGTCCTTTGCTACTTTCAGAGCCTCTTCAGTGCTTATTTACCCTTTTATCATTCCCTTATTTTAGGAAATCACAACCATTAGGTCAAAGAAAAAGCGTTTTGTTGAGGAACCGTTCATTCCAAGTGCTAAATACCAAATTTGCTCATAGGATCGCCTTTTTCCATGGCCTATAGTGATCAACAGGCAACTGATCTTAACAGACACGTGTAATGACTATGCCCCGGATTTATTTTTTTGGAAGGCGCGATATGGGGAGAGAACTGCGGTCTTTACAACTAACACTTTGTATTTGCTTGTATGTAACTTAAGTATTTAATGGTACCAAAATAAAAGGTGGTAGTTAAGCCTGTGGAGCTGCTTGAGTATTTTTTCTAGACAAGACCAGTGGTATGTTAGTGGTACCATGAGTGCTTAGTACTCCCTGAGAAAGTAAATAAAATCAGACTTCTGTATCAGTCCAAGAAGAAATAATGGGAGAAATAGCTACAGGCAAGTGCTGATAGCAGCAATTCCAAACAGGAAGCGTGTTAAAGCAAGATAAATCCATAGATTTTTGTTATGGCAAGTTGCACTTGTCTCATGAGGCCAATGTCCTCTAGTAAATTGGGTTGCAGTAGCTTAAGATGTTTCTGCTCTGTACTGTCTCCCTGCCCACTTCCAGGTGCAGCAGGAGAGGATGTGGACAGGCCTCTTAATACTTTCGGTGCAAGATCACTCAATCCCTATTGTGGATTTGAGTTTATGATGGGACTATAAATTGGAATATTTTAGGTGTTGTCCCTCCTTCTTGCTTACCTGCAATATGTTCAGCACAGAGATGAAGCACCGTATTAAATCATGAAAGTTATCACTGTCAAAAACTCTGCACCCTAGTTCAGAGTACTGCAAATGACAGTTCTTTGTTTCCTAGTAACAGGTGAATTTGGCTGGGGAAGCTGCATTCAAGAGCCATTTCTGGTTTTATGTGCTCTGCTTTAGCATTCAGATCTCAGTTGCACAGGGATAATGGAGTGGATCTCAGGGAGGATTTCAGGGAGTTCAAACAACAATTGGCAATACTTCCTGCACAATGACACTTTCTGTATCTTATTTTTACTGCCGCATACTCGGTGTATTGAGATGGTAGATCGTATTTCACAAGCTTTAGCTAAATTGCATTATTATGATGGCATCTGGGGACCCAAACCAAACTGAGGTCTCTATTGTAAGATCTTTAGGATACAATCTCTCTACAGTGCCTGACACTGTGAGTTTAGGTCTTCAGGTGGAGTGGCAAAATGATAAATAGTGCTAAGTACTGAGCAGGTTCATGGGCTTGGAGTCCTCTCTCGTCATTCCGTTTGTGTCTATGTTGTGACTGTCTCCAGCTAAGCTGGTTGCTCGGCTCTCACTTGAGCCAAAGCAGAGAGGAGTGAGCAGCGCTTGAACTCCTCCTTAAGCAGGTACATAAAACAGAGCAGATGAATCATGACCTAAACTGCACTGTGTTGCCTAGGTCCCCATAATCTATACAAGAACTTGGGGTACATAGCTTGGATGGACACCTCTTCTCCAGCAACACCCAAGTCTGCTGTAGTTGAACACTTGATACAGAGTGGATTTGGAGAGCAGTGATAAATTTGCTTCCTTGTTTTTTACAGCGAGATCTCTGTGCGTGGGAATATTAGGTAACTTGCCTGAAGTTGCACAGAAAATCTGTGGCAGAGCCACGAGGATAAATCAAACTTTCCAAATTATAATCCGGTAGCATAAATCTGAGGCTGTCTCAATGTGAGATTGACCAGTGCCCGAGGAAATATGCCTTTAAAATCCGTCCTTGATGGGCTCGTACCTGCTGTTTGGCTTTGTGTAACAGATAGAGTTTCATGCTGTGTTTTCATGTCTTGGTTCACTGTCCAAATTACGTGCTGGCACAGAAGGCACTGCTGCTCTGAGCAGCTGACAGAACTGGAGCAGTGATAACTAGACATCTTGCCATCATTTTGCTTTGCAAAAATAGTGACCAGCTTTCGCCAGACTTCAGATTCCAGTAACTCTTTCCAGCAAGCATCTTAACCATTTTAGGTCCCATTGGATTGAGTAGTAGCACTCAGCTTGAACGGTTGAAGATGCTGACGGACAAAGGGTTAAGGGATTTATTACCAGACTCTCTTAGGCAGAGAGAGTTAACAGATGAAAGTGAGCCCCTTGCCTTTTATTTTTGTGTGTGAGTAACCACATCATCATGGCTCGTTGTGTTTCAAGGCAGAGCCTAATTGGCAGGTGAACTGAGCAGAGCCCTGTAGCTGACTTGAGTTTCCATTTTACTGCTTTCATATTTTAAAAGCTTTTCTGTTCTCAACAGTTGTGTCTTTTTCTGTATTTTAAATGTTAAGTATGCTCTAATGAATGTGAAGCCTATCAAAAGTAACCTGGTTTGAAACTAAAAATAAGCTGTTTTTCATGGCAAACCTGGGACTTTTTTGGTACATTTTTGATTTACAAATAAATTGGGTGCCTCTTGGAGAGGTGGGGAAGGAGGAGTGTCCCTGCTTCCTTTGTGCATCCTCTCGTGCCACCCCCTGCTTTGCTGCATAGCTCCCTTGGAGGCTTGCACTGCATGTCACCACATTTACCTTCTGTGCTCGCCTAAATGGGTTTCACAACTGAGGTGTGCTGGGTGAGGACATGGCTTACCCTTACCACTGCCAAGGGTGCTTGGTGATAAACCTCCAAAAGCGTGTGCCTTGCTGCAGCAGAAGGTGGAGATGTTGAATGGCCAGAGGGACCGTTCTGGAGCACGCTTCAAGCCATAATCTAGAAAGCGTCGTCAGCTGCTGCTGCTTTTGTTCTGCTATGCTGGAAAACAAACTTTGGGATGCTCTTGGTTAAAACTTTTTAGTAAACTTGCTGAAAAAATGTCAGTGTGGATCATCTTTAAATCATCTGCACACATCTTTCACTGCCATCCTTTAGGATATACTGAAGGAGTGAGGTCTCTTCTCTCTTAAAATAGTATAAAGAATTATAAGTTTATTGGAGCGGAGGCTGAAACTCTGTGATCTTTTCTCAGCTGAACATTGAAGGTAGCCCTGCTCTTTGGAGTTGTGTGGAGTGGTCCAGAAGACCTTCAGAGGTCTCTTCCTATCTTAATTATACTGTGACTTTATGAATGGTAGGAGTCATTTCATGTAGCACTGGCTACTTTATTTTATGTATTTATCTGTATGTTTGTATATATAAAATGTATGCAGAAGAAGGTCACAGGAAGGACTGAGGGAGAGCCACCTCTGAACTTCCCATTTCCAAGTGATAAAGTTACTTCCTCAGGAGAGGCAAGACCTTATTTCAGACCCATGTCCTGAATCATACACATGGTAGATCTGATCACGTCATTTTTCTTTTTAGTGCATATCCTACACGTCTACCACCTCCAGTTTGGGGAATTCAGCCTCGTTTTCTTATAACAGTGAAAGAACCTGAAGTGTTTCATTTGGGATAGAAACAAAGGGGTTTAGCTTGTAGTTTTGGTAAGAACAGAAAAACGTAGATTAAGCTTGATCCATGGTTTGTTTTGTATTTTTGCTTTGGCAGCCAAATTGCAAAACCAGTTATCCACACAGCCGTATTTCTAGCTGCTTGTGATTTATGGAAAGAGCTGAGAGATATTTTACGAGCTAAATCTCACTACTGTGGCTGACGTCCAGCTTTAGTCAAAGCATTTTGTCTGTGTAAAATTCCCCTGCCATTCCAGCTAGATACGATTTTTCTCAAACCAGTGACTTGCATAGCTGCAAATGATGGGACTGCTGTGGAATTCAGCCCCACATGTGGATAAAGGGGCTGCTGATGTTTCACAGCAGCTTTCTGAGGGCTGATTATATATATTCTAAAAGGAAAACAAGAAAACAGAGTTCGCCAGTTGTTATGAAAAAAATAAAGTTAAACATGTGTAGAGTACAATTCTTTTCCCCTATTTTACCAAAAGCCACAGATTTATTTTGTTAGACAGGCTGCAGTTCTGGTATCTTCAGCAGCATTACCTGGATGCTCACATACCACAGCAGTTGATGTTGTGGGATAGCACTGGGATAATTTTCCTTCTTGGAGACTATTATTGCAATTGATTGGATAAACTGCTTTTATTAAGCAGGCAGTGTGAGGATATCCTCTGTGGATGCCTAAGGAAGCAGATCAGGTAGGCCAGTAGTGACAGCAGAGACAACGCCTCTATGATCTGAAGCGACTGAGAAGCTGGATTTGCAGTCAGTATTGTATGGTGCTTCCAAATCTCCCTCTGATACACCCGAGGGAAGGCAGCTGAAGGCTTGCCTATCAGGCAGGTGCTTTCAGTTCATGCAACCAGGCTTATTAAGGGAGTAGCCACAAGAGGGAAGAAAAGGCAACGATACTAACTCATGCCTTGGTCTGCTGCGAAAGGAGTCAGGGTGAGGAATTAAGACAGATTTTGCTTGTGTTGTTTGGATCTCTGCTCTTGGATTTGGTTGTGTGAACTGATGAAATTTAAAGTTGAGTAGGCCACATAAGTCAGTGTATGGTATCATTATGGATGTCTCCTAGCCTTAAGAATGCATCAGCCTGGCTTTCTCCTTGCACTTTAGAGGCTTCGGCCCTGTTTGGACCAGTATCTATAGGCTGTTTCAGACAACAGGGTCTCCTCACAATCTTGGAGTAGCTCAGGGTGTTTGCTTACAGTCCCACATACGAACAGTAATTTGCTAAGTGTAGTGTGAACTGCTTGAT